CTTACTAGCCTCTACTAAAGATATAAACCTAACTGTTCTGAAAGATTTACAAGCTTCATCAAAAAATTTTACAGCTAGTCACAGGCAAAATTTGGCTAAATGCTTATTTAACTACTTCGGATTTATTATCATTAACCTTTTTATTCAACCTCATAAAGAACAACTTTTTGTTCCCCAAAAGATAGTATTAAATTCTTTTCAACAGCTTTCAGGTATTTTCAATTGACTCCAACTTTTCCTTGGAACTCCCAATATGGCTTTTTCTTACATTTTTGTATATCTAAGTAGACTCTGATTTGCATTTGCCTCTCTAATTCTTGTTCTATTACAGTAATTACAGCTAGAAGCTAATTTAAAACAAAACCTTTTTCATATATGAATAGATTATCTACTTGCTTGCTTTTAAAAAACTTTTTCCTGTGCAGCAATGATAATTAACTCCATCTTTAAGATTTTTAGAATGATTATTTCTACCTAATACAACTAAACAAAAAATGTTTTTACCCTAAATCGACCAAGGGTTAATAGCTCTTATTCAACAGGGCTAAACTAGAACCATCCAATTTACTGGACAAGATCTTGACACTATTTATCTTTCCATGTCTCCAAATAATTTCAACTTTTACAGACTACAGAAGAATGACAAATAACTGTGTGGGCTTTTTAGGACGAGCTTCCTTTTACTTCCATATGGAATTTCATTACTTCCTATACTAATATTTTCTTCCATAAATATATCTCATTCCAAATGCACTAACACAAGAAGGAACCACAAACATGGTGCTGCAATATGGTACTCTCTTGTACCCCAGAGCAACCATCACCCCACAGGTGGAACTAAGCTGCCATTTCCGTCTTATTATTTACTAAGCTACTCTCATTATATGGCTCATGCCATCCACTTCTGTTTCAAGCCACCTTGGCTCATTCCTCAGTCTTTTCTGTTATCAATATTTACATATGCTAATGGTAGTTAGATGAAGCAAAGATAAATCGTTCTAAAGATAATTTAATAAAGGAAGCAGGGAGAAGTCAGAACCTATGCTCTCCAACATCCATCCTACACAGTTAGACCATTAAACAGTGTTTCACTTTGATTAAAAAATGCAAATAATCCCAGGGATTGTTAAATTTGTTTTGTTGTTTTGTTTTGAAACAGCGTCTCCTTATAGCCCCAGCTAACCTAGAACTCACTATGTAGAAACAGGATGACCTTGATCTCACAGAGATCTGTGTCCCTCTGCCTCCTGAGTGCTGGGATTAAAGATGTGTGCCACCATGCCCAGAAAAATTCCATTTTTAATAACAGGATGTGAATTTAGTGTAAATGAATGAATGAATAAAATGAATTGCCTTTGGGAACTGGGTTTTACTTATACTCAACTCTGAAAAGTAGAGGTCATTGAAGCTCTGAATGGAAGTATGAATGGAAGGTGGCAGGCTACCTGGGTAAGACATCACCATGGGGAACCCTAAAAGAGGTGAAAATTATAGTATGGTTTTAGAAAAACGAAGAGGGAGCTGAGTGTGATGGCACATGTCTTTAATTCCAGCACTTGGGAGGTAGAGGCAGGTAGATCTCTCTGAGATCAAGGCCAGCCTGTTCTACAAAGGGCAAGTGGCACTACAGGGAGACCCTGACTGAAAAAAAAAAAATTCTTATTTCAAAATAAAGAGGCTTCCATGCCATACAGCACTGATCAAAGAAGCTTCTTTTTGCAACAGATGGAGGCTACTGCAGAGCTGCACATGTAGTCAGGCACAGAGTATACCTGGGAGATGCCCAGTACTAGATGACACATCTGCAGTTGAATCTCTAAAACTAAAGCTTATGGAATATAGCAGAATTAAGGGGCAGAGAGAGGGCTAATGCACCCCTCAACTCTCACCAGGGAGGCTTCCATGTACATCAGAGTGTGATGTACACAGATGGCCACAACTGGCCAAGTTTTGGAGAATAAGAGACTGTAGAATATAGGATGGGACTCCTATATGAAACCTCACCCACCCAAGGCTCAGGGACTACTGTGGAAGAAGCGGAGGAAAGATTGTAAGAGCCAGGGCTAGTTCATGAATACAGGGAGGTGGAGGCTTCCAGGCCACTGGAGGTTTGCTCATGAAAGCCTGGGGTAGTGATGGCATTGAGCATGGGACCCATGTCAGCTCAATTAAACAAGGCCCCAAAGGGGAGGCAAGAAACAGGTGGTGGGCCAGCACTAGATTGAGAACTATTTGAGAATGACTGCTGACTTACATATGACCACTAGATGGACTGACTAGAAGCCAGTGGACACATTTATACTAAAAGACATTTGAGTACAAACACCTGAATGAATAAGACTCAGCATATATGGCAGAGTCCATAGGATTCAGTAGGGGCATAGGGGAAGGCATGGATAGGGGAGGGGTCTGGATTTAAGTGGGATATGTATGAAATTTTAAAAGCTCAATGATAAAAAAATAATAAAGAGGCTTCCGTAAGTTCTGGAAAAGAAAAAAAAAATCTTGCAATATGATTACATCCTCCTTGTCACTGTAGTACAAATGTGTAATCCCAGAACTCAGGGAAATTGAGGTAGAAAATCAGGAGCTCAAGGCTAGTTGGGCCTAAGCAGTGAGACCCTGTCTCCATAAAAACATTTTTAGAAATATATCCCAGCTGTTCTGGAACTCACTATGTAGACCAGGCTGGACTTGAACTCACAGAGATCCCCCTGCCTCTCCCTCCTGAGTGCTGGGATTAAAGGCGTGCGCCACCACACCCGGCTATTTATTATTTTTATTTAATGTGTTTGAGTGTATTGCCTGCATGTGTGTAAGTGCACCCATGTCATGTAATGCCCGTGGAGGTCAGATGAGTATGTTGGATCCTCTAGAACTGGCATCATGGATGGTTGTTAGCTGCCATGTGGGTGCTCGGAATTGAGCCCAGGTCCTCTGCAAGAGTAGCCAGAGATGTTAACCACTGAGCCATCTCTCCAGCTCCCCCATTTTTTAAATGTTATTCTTTATATAACAATTATATACCATAAAATTAAAATTACATTCATAAAATTAAGGCCTAGAAAGCCAAATTTTCCAACTTCATTTAATATTGATACCTATACACTGACAATATTCTGGAGAAACAAGTTCTAAATGACACTCAAGTTTGGCATTTTTCAGCACTGCCCACATACCTGTGTACATGAGAGAAGACAGTGGGTACCGCAGGCCAAGTGCATCTTCTGTAAAGGAATCAACAAAGTCCTCTAGCATCTGAAGCCCCCAATCTTTGCCTCTGTGTTTCTTTCTTATAAACATTGAATCAAGAACTGGCAGTTGGTAACTTTGGGTAAGAAATGAGGCACATGAGCTTCCTGCAGTAATAAAACAGAAACAAAAGATTTTTGTACCTTAAACTATATGTGCATTTTGTGAACATGAGTTAACAATGTTTCTGAAAACAGTCACTTTTTCTCCTGAATCCAAATGCACAGTAAACATGTTTATGTTCTTTACTAAGTGCTTTCCAGCTTTTACTACACAATATAATATATACAAGTGATGAGGCTAGCTCTTATTTTATGCCAACAGTAATATAGGACAAACAGCTCATTTCCATTTTATGACATTTACACTGAACTATACTACTGAGATCTATAGGCATAACCTTAATCTTCTCCCTTTCCACAACAGACTGAAACCTCTAAAACGAGTCAAAAAATCTTCCTCCTGCCAGGTGTGGTGGCGGAGCCTTTAATCCCAGCACTTGGGAGGCAGAGGCAGGTAGATCTCTCTGAGTCTGAGGCCAGCCTGGTCTATATAGCTATATAGAAGTTCCAGGTCAGCTGGGGCTACAGGGAGACCCTGTCTCAAAAAGATAAAAAATAAAAGAAAACAAAAAAATCTTCCTTTCCTTCAGGTTTTTTGCTACAGTATGTGGTCACAGCAACAAGAAAGTTTGACTACCATACTGTAGAAGGGAATGTAATTTCATCACAAAAAGAAATGAAGTGTTGATGCACACCACAATACAGATGAGAGCTGAAAAAATGTTAAGCAAAAAAGTCCAGATACAAGAAGCCACATGATGTATGATTCCATTAGAACAGTAGATACCAAGTAGGGAGTGACTGCTACTATGTACAAGTTTTTTGTGTTTCTCTGGGTTTTTGTTGTTGTTGTTTTGAAATAATTATCTAAAAGTGGTGAAATAAGATATACTTGAAATGGGTAAATTGTATGGTATGTGAATATATCCAAAAAGTTGTTCAAAATACAAACAAAATAGCAATTTAACACATGGTACAAATAAGCCATTATAACCAGATTCTGTACTAACAGCCTCAAAATCTGTCCCTCCTCAAGTTTGCCAATTTCTCAGTAAATCTCCCCACCCATTTGCCCCGTTACTCTGAACAAAAAGCCCAGAACTCACCCTTGGCTCTCTTCCTTCCTAGCCCATGACAAACATCAGAAATCCTGCAGCAGAACAGTAACACTACCTGGAGCTATCTCCTTTGTCCAGGTCACACCACTTCTCACCAGACCTTCCCCAAGAGCCTCTTCAATAAACTCTCAACCCTGCTGTAATATGCATTACATTGGTAAATTGTCATGTGCTGTTTGAGCTGAGAAGCGGGCTCTGGAAGGAGGATTGCCTTCTACCTCCACCCCATTTCAGACCCAAACATGTCTGTCTCAAAGTGTCCTCCAAGGCCCCTTGTGTGAGGGGCCCCCACAACTCTGTGATGGGGGAGGGGCCAGCCCCAAACAGCCCAACGATAAGAATATCATGTTTTTTTTAAATATTCATTTTATTGTGTTTTTCAGCATGTTGACACAGTATTTCCATATAGCACAATAAAAGCAGTAGAAGCCCAATTCCTTAAAACTTCTTAAATAAATAGCCTTTTTTCATTGTTAAGTTACTAACACATTAACTGTACATTATTGGGACTCACTGGGATATTTCCATGTACAATACATAGCAATCAGTACATCCACTTTCCCAACTCCTTTATTTAATTTTTTAATTTTATTTTTTTAGGATTTCATACATGAATATTGTATTTTCATTATTTCCACCTCGCCCAGTCCCCCTTCCAATGCCTCCCATGGCTCCCACTCCCTGCCAATTTCTTGTCCTCGTCTTATAAACATCATGTTTTCAAACATGGTTAAAAGGCAAACCATTTCCAACACATGTTACTATTGCTTATCCCATGATGTAAAAGTACTTAAAGTGGGAGAGAGAACCCAGAATTTCAGTCATGGGAAATTCATCCAGGGAGAGACAATTCAATCAGCAGCTTCCGCTAACTGCTTCAGTTTCCCTGGTTAGTTTCTGCTGGATGTCATGAGTACCACCCAATTTGATGATGTTAAATCTGTTGCTATTTTTTACTTGGAAGCCTCAATGGGGGGAGGATGGCATGACTCCACTCTGCCAGAGACTCCCTCTATCAAGAACTCTAGCTGCCTGACACAATGAGGCTTTCACAGTCGATTTTTGCTGGGTGTTTTCAGCCTGATTTATGATATTTTACTTGATATTTATTCTCTTACTTTGGCTTGCTATATACTTAACTTACTCAAAACAAAAAAATAGGATTATTTCTCTGGACTTTGAAAAAACACCTGCCCACCCTGAGTACCCTGTATCTGGTTTCCCACACAGCAATCTGCTGCCTTTTTAAAGAGCAAGTAGGATACTGATACTCCGTGTGGGTATCCTCGCTCACAGAGCAGAATCCACTCTGTCTTTGGCCTCGGGATCTTTTAGAATACAAGCCCTGCCCTCTCCAAACTCTATGACTCTCTACCATGTAGGCTTGGCAGCCATCACTCATTTTAGGAAGATCCCAAACCTGTTTCACCATTTTCAGCTCTTGCTGGAGAGTCTCTTCTGAACCTTCACACTTATTCCATCACTTCACTCAAAAAGGCTTCTCCTAACCATTCTATTTAAAATAGCATCTCCCTCATATTTACTTTTTTTTTTTTTTTTTTTTTCGGAGACAGGGTCTCCCTGTAGCTCTAGCTGACCTGGAACTCACTATGTAGACCAGGCTGGCCTCGAACTCACAGAGATCGCCTGCCTCTGCCTCCCAAGTGCTGGGATTAAAGGCATGCGCCACCACACCCGGCCAAGTTTTTAATCTTTATGTCTTACTTCTTCATCCAGGCACAGTGAGAATGCGCAGTGGGATTCGTGTGATGATTAAATGAGATAATACATGCAGTGGGCTGAGAATGGTTCCTGGTATTTTAATAAAGTGTTCAATAGATATGAGCTAGTAACCATTGTACTGGTACACAAAAGAATAAATCACTTCATAAATGACTGATAGGTAAGTCAAAGTTCTCATGACATTAGAGCATCTTGACTCTGCGTTTTCCTTGAGACACTGACAGAAGTGCTCAGACTTAAGTCTTCCACAACTGGACAGCATAAATAATGCACAGTTTCACTGAGTTTCAAATAAAGTACAAATGCTTCTTGGGTTTATTTATGTTCCAAATGTTGCATGGTAGGAGAGATTGGCTGGGACAGTACGTGGTAGAGTAAGAACTGTAGTGTGTTTGTTTTAAAAGTCTTAGTATTTTCCCAGTAGCTTCTTTCTCTTGGAAGGATCCCCCTACCTCCCATTGTATCGTCTTTAGGAAGACGCCTTTGCTACTATGTACATTTGCCCTTTTTATCATCAAAAGTGGATTGAAGCAAAAGTGAGTTTTTCTCTAGCTACAGGAATATACCCCTGCTGTATTTTCCACAGGCCACTGCCAGCAGAATTTATGCTTAGAGCAGCCCTGCTGGGTGCTACCCAAGTTCTGATAAATCAATCATTTAGCATCACTTCAAAGTCTACATATAAGCCCCCCTTTCTAACTTCAATGAAACAGAACCATTAAAAACCAGCTTTAACAAATTTGCTTTCAGTACTCACAACGGTTTTTAAAAGGCAGTGGCAAAATTCCCCATGTCAGCAGTTTATTTGGATTAGATTAGTACTGGTGGTTTGAACATGCAAAACAGTTTTTTCAAAGAGTTCTTTCGAGATGGATTTGCAACTCAATAAAGAGGCAGGTTCCTTCAGGGATCAGAACATTTTAGTCACATGTTAAGTTGTATTTATGAAGGTGTTTAATGTCCACACATCTTCTTGACTGATAGTGATTAAATGTATGCTGCCAGTTCTTAACAATCAGGTGATTTTTTTTTTCTTTTTTGGTCTTTTTTGAGACAGGGTCTCCCCAGTAGCCCCAGCTGGCCTGGAACTCACTATGTAGACCAAGCTGGCCTCGAACACAGAGATCTGATCCGCCTGCCTCTGCCTCCTGAGTGTTGGGATTAAAGGCGTGCAACCACTATGCACGGCCATGATTTTTTATCTTTAGAAATTCAGTTGTTTTACATTTTCTGGAGGGCACAGGTGAAGGTACACTGGGCTGTAGAAGAGTAACAGAAAAATGATGGATAATGTCTTGGTACCTGGGAATGGGAGAGGACAGAGATCTGATCCGCCTGCCTCTGCCTCCTGAGTGTTGGGATTAAAGGCGTGCAACCACTATGCACGGCCATGATTTTTTATCTTTAGAAATTCAGTTGTTTTACATTTTCTGGAGGGCACAGGTGAAGGTACACTGGGCTGTAGAAGAGTAACAGAAAAATGATGGATAATGTCTTGGTACCTGGGAATGGGAGAGGACAAACATCAAGGCCTGGTTGCCCAGGGCCAAGTGTGGAGTCAAGTGCTCCAGAGGAATGTGAAACTTTGGCTCATTGTTGGGGACCAACGCTCCAAGCTCATGTGAGGGGACCACAGCTCCAGTGTCACAGGAGGGAACCACATCTCCAGTTTCATGGAAGAAGACTATAGCTCCAGGTTCACCAGAGGGGACCATGGCTCCAGCTCACAGGAACAGATCACAGCTCCAGGTTTACAGGAGGCAACCACAGCCAGGCTCATAGGAGGGGATCACAACTCAGGCTCATGGGAGACAACCATACCTCCAGGTTCCAGGGACAGGACCACAGCTCAAGATTCATGGGAGGGAACCACAGCTTCAGGATCAAGGGAAGGGACCACAGTTCCAGACTCACAGGAAAGGGTCATAGTTTCAATTATGTTGGTTCCTACTATTTTCCTATCTCCATCACTTTGTCTACATTATGCTTGTGTTTAAGAAAGAGCATTTTTACTTCTGTACAGCAAATGTAGGCAACAGTTACTTGATGTCTTCAATTTATTGTTAGAGCATCAATATCGAAGAAATCACTTTCTGCTTTTGCTCAAAGAGATAGATGAACTGCACGTTTTGGTTTTCATGGTCAAGGATCTGGTTGGCTTTTTTGGTGTCTGTGGTTTTCACATTTCCTCCCTGACCAGGAGAGGCCGGTGATGAGACATTTGACTGGAGTCACGTTTGGTCAAGAGCTGCCTGCCACCATCTTGGCTGTCCAGTCATTTTCTTTCTTATTTGTCAAGTCCTTTCTTGCCTATACCTGGCAATCTGTCCATGTCCTCCTTGGGGTTGGTCACCTGGGTTTTGATGGCTGGGCAACCATGGGTGCTGGGCTCCATGATCACCCCCACGCCCAACCCCAGGCCAGAGAGGTGTGGATACTTGCAGTCATTCCTGGACTCACCTGCCACCCAGCCCTGCACTGTCTTTAGAGCCTGCACCTGAGCTCTTGGGCAGGGTTGGCTCAGGCGGTCACCTCTCCTTCACCGTTTTTTTTTTTTTTTTTTTTTTTTTTGAGACAGGGTCTCCCTGCAGCCCCGGCTGGCAACTCACTATGTAGACCAAGCTGGCCTCCATCTCACAGAGATCCACGTGCCTCTGCCTCCCGAGTGCTGGGATTAAAGGCATCCACCTCCATACCTTGCTTTCCTTCACCTTCTTAAAACCCAGTTTAACACCTCATGAAAGCATCAGTGTGGGTCAATCTTCCTCACTCTGTGATATGAATTCCAAATTCTTCATGATTTATAAATAAGTTATGGTAATATTAGCTATTCTAAAACAAAAAACCAAACCAGAAAACATACCATAAAGGTTTAGTTTTGACTTGAGTAATTCCATATACTTTTCCTGTAAGATGGATGGATTTCCCTTCACAATCATCCAGAAGCTATTTCAGTTATCTGATGCTGCCTAACAACCAGACTAAATCACACTGGCTAAACAAAAATCTATTATTTATCTTCAGGTAGTGGAAACTCAGGCCCTACCCTTGTCACTGAACTCACTGCACTCCATCATCTAGAAAATCTCCCTTCATTCAGTTTTTAGTTCTATTACTACAATCTTAGTCTGTGACCTTCTCTCATCTGAACTATTCAAATAGCTCTACTCAGCACTTCCTTGATGTCAAGAGACAGTTTTCCTACCTATCATGCAAGGGTTATAAAATTATGTCCCTAATGTATTCAGATAGCTTCATGGACAATAAAATGCCAAGCATCTTAGTATGGTATCTACAACCCTCCACAATGGGACTGTGACCTTTACCTCTCCAATTTTTGTTTAGTTTTGTAGTTAAGATACTTCTCTTTATTTTCTCCAATGTTTTAGTCTCACAAGTCTCACCCTGAATAACAGGGTGTCCAAGTATGAGCCTGCTCTTTCCCAACTCTATATATCCCAGAGATGTTTATTAACACTGTTCTTTTCTTTCCCCACCTCCCTAACTTCTGACGACTTACTTATCCTCCAAAGACAGTATCATTTTGGATCTTTAGATTTTTAAAAATGTGTATGAGTGTTTTCCCTGCATATATATAAGAGTATCACATGCATGGCAGATACCTATGGAGGCCAGAAGAGAGTATTGGATAACCTGGAACTGGAGTTAAGGACAGATATTAGCTGACAAGTAGGTGCCGGGAACCAAATCTGGGTCCTCTAGAAGGACAGTAAGTGCTCATCACCATTGAGCCATCTCTCCAATCCCAAATAACACTTCTTAGAAATTTTCTTCCAGACAGAATTAAGTGCTCAGTCTTCAACAACTACTACTGCTGATACTTCAAACATATTACTTATCAACCTGAATTAAGATTATTGGGGAGATAAGGTTTTCTACAAAGTTATAAAATAAAATTTAAGTTTTAATGCCAATCATAAATATACTTACTTTGATAACACACCATTTAAAATAAAGAACTCCTTCAACTGAAAAATAAGCATAAATAAAAAAAAATTTTTTTAATTTGCTTTGGTTGAAAAACTATTTTGTAACATTTGATGTTCCAAGATAGTGTTTTTCAAAGTATAAAAGATCATAAAGGGCTGAGGATGTAGCTCAGTGGTAAAGCACATCTTAGATCTGCAAGGCCTTGGATTGACCCCTAGAAATATAAAATAATACTTTAAAGAAAGAAACTAATGTAATAATTATATTAAAATGACAAAAAGGCCAGGCATGGTGGCATACGCCTTTAATCCAGCACTTGGGAGGCAGAGGCAGGCATATCTCTGTGAGTTCAAGGCCAGCCTGGTCTACATAGTTCTAGGACAGCTGGGGCTACAGGGAGACCCTGTCTCAAAAAGACCAAATAAATAAATAAAATAAAATGATAAAAAGAAGGAGCTAGAGAAATGGCTCAGCAGTTAAGAGCACTGGCTGCTCTTACAGAACACTTGGGTTCAGTTTCCAGCACCCACATGGCAGCTAACAACCATCTATAACTCAAATTCTAGGGGATCTGACACTCTTCTGGCCTCTGTGAGCACTACACATACTGGTGCACTTAAATACATGCAGGAAAAACACTCATACACATAAAATAAAAATAAATCAAAATAATTTAAATGACAAAAAGCATAAACATTTTTACACCATAACTATACAACCTGAAAAACAACCTATGAATTCCTCACAGTAATCTCTTTATTTCAGGCAGAAAAGATTTATATAGTTTCTTGAATTTCATTGTATTGTAAATTATATTATAAATCTAACCTCATAAACAAAGTCTCCTTTTGCCTATCAAAACTACTTTCATGCCCTAATATAACGATCAGATGATCTGCTTAAAAAAAAATAATAAATGATTTCAAAAGACTTTCATTTAACTATAAATTTGATAAAGATTTTAGGGTCTGTGAGATAGCTCCATAGGTAATGGTGCTAGTCACCAAGGCTGTTCATCTGAGTTCACATGGTAGAAGGAAAAATATTTTTTGGTTCAAGTACAGAAGATGACCAACTGTGTTATTTGGTGGTGACCAGGCACAGGATATGTGTGACCAGAATAAGTGGAATTTCTCTGCTGTCATGCTCCATGGTGCTTAATAAGGGTAAGTACAGAGCTGTCCTAGTCTTTCATGGATAGGGTTAAGTTTTACACTTAGAAACCCAAACTTCAGATTAACCACTTGAAGCTGTTTGTATCCTCTAACTATTATTAAAGTCCTTTGTTTTCCTTGGGTGATTAGTTAGGTTGCTCATAAATGTGCCAGGCAGACAAGCATGGTAGCTCATGCCTATAATCCTGGCACTTGGGAAACTGAGGCAGGAAGACTGCCTTGAGTTAGAGGCCAGCTTGGGCTACAAATTCAGTTAGAGGCCAGTCTGGGCTACAAATTGAGTTCCAGGCCAGCCTGAACTACAGAGTAAACTCATATGTCAAAAACAACAAACAACAACAAAAAAATTTTAAATGTATCAGAGGCTGGGCCCGGAGGCTCATGCTAGCATTCAGGAGGCAGAGACAGCCAAATCTCTTGTGAGACTGAGGTCAGCCTGGTCTACATAGCGAGGTCGAGGCTACCAAGGGCTACACAATGAGACCCTGCCTCACCCCCCACACACACAAATAGAAATAATTGTGTAGGGCTGAAATCAATTATTCTAAGCAGAAATAGCAATGCACATAGGTCACATGGGTTTTAGAAGGAGCATGTAATAACAGCAGCAGAAATCAAAGCAGTAACCTTTAAATGAAAGGACACATAGTCTAAGAAAAACAAGTTTAAGGTTCAATTACAATTGTCTCTCCATAGAAGTAGAAAGGCCATGCCCTGAATCAAATGTCTACTTTCATTTTTCCAAAAGATTTTTCTAATAATCCTCTTTCATAGGACAATAGAATTGCAATACTAGTAAGAAATAAATAGAATCACTTTGACTTGCATTCCAGGAGTGAATTTAACAGACACTGACACAGCTGGTGGTCTAAAATGGAGATTTCCATAACAGTTTAAGTAACTTGTAAAGACTCACCTGTAGGCTTAACTGAATAAAACCCAATGGCCTCTCCTTTCTTCCACAGAATCTTAGCATAATCAGTACTGCTATGACACAGGAATGGAATCTCATTTCTCTCCATTTCCTGTTTTCTATAAATAATTCGATTGAGAACATACAGAACCACTCTTTCCCCAAGAGTGCTCACCTACAAAGAGAGTCAAACATCAGGCACAGAAGTTACAACAGGTAGCTATTAGAAAACGCCAGTCACCACTCCCAGCTCCCATACTTCCTACTGGCATTCAGAGCACTTCAACACAATTTGGAAACATTTTATGGTCATAGAATAAAGGCTAACCATTCATAACAATAACACTCAATCCCACAGACATTTTATACAAGGAATACTGTCTTGCAGCAAAGTCTAAAATGGGCAAAACAAACTTTGCAGGTCTTCCAGCTGCCTAAATCAGGGTCTTTGTGGCCCTAACTGCTGCCCCCACTACCTACTCTATTTCAATGACCTTTCACCCCGTTTCTGCCTCCACATTAAAAAATTAAGTTTTTTGTTTGTTTGTTTGTTTGTTTGAAAGTATCCCCAGAAGACTTTAAGAACAATTACCTAATTTGATGAAGGAGGCCATAATTAGGCCTTTGGGAAAGGCACCTGTCCCTTTTCAGATGAAATGTTCCTTTGACAGTCTTGTCTTTGCTATAACTATAGGAATACCCAGCCTTCTTACCCACACACCTCTCTGCTAGACAGCTAAGCAAACACAGTGACACTAGGGAAGTCTAGCTGATATATCTGGGGCAGAACGACAACAGAGACTCAGCTCCTACTCACAGAGCCACATCATCACAGGCATCCCACCAATACCCAAAGCCTTCTGACAATAGTTTGGTTTCCCTGTAGACATCTTCCATGCTAAAATAAAGAATTCTGTTCATAAAGTCTGCTACACTCAGTCCCTCTGATTAGTTGAGCTATCAACTACAGAAACTATTAACTATTCATGCACTGTTATAAAAATATCCCTGACAGGGGATCTCCAAAGCCAAACAATACAAGAAATGGTAGTCATTCCTTCCTTATGTAGCCCTGACCAACATAAAATTCCTCCTCACACTGAGCTGAAATCTGCTTCCCAGTGGCTATTTTTTAATATTCCGCAGCCACACAGTACCAACATTTAAAGACAGCCATGATGTTCATATTAATTTTATACCAAAGCAACCCTTAATCACTGAAGAAATAGACCAATACCAGTTGAGAGCAACCTTGGAATCCTAGTCCTCTCTCGGGAGAGCTTCTGGTCCCTAACACCTCTGTTCATGTTTGGCATAATGTATTACAAACACTGAAGATACAGTGTAGATAATGGGACCTTGCTATATAAACTTTAAGGCTTTCATTAACCTCATTTTGCTTTTTAACTAAAGCCAAGTCTTTTTCACGAGATTGGGATGCATGTGCAGCTAATCTTTTTGGAACATAGACGTATTACTTTACATTTATTCCTCTTTAGTTTCATCATGGTAGCGCTTTTTTTTTTGAGACAGAGTCTCATGAAGCCCAGGCTGGACATGAACTTACTAAGTTGTTGAGAATGACTTGAATTTCTGATCCTCCTGCCTCCATCTCACTGGTGCTGAATTCACAGGCATGGAAACACACCCATTTTATTCAATGCTCAAACACCAAACCCGGGGCTTCACACATGCTAGGTAAGTACTCTTATCAACTGAGCTACATCCGCAGACGCCTTGTTTTTTGATTCTCCTTTTCAGTGATTAGTTCCCCAACTCAGCACCAGGCCATACAATATTAAAAAGCACGTCATCCTTATCTTCTGATACAATGGTGACCAGGACAGAAAAAGAGAAAAGGTCTGTCAGCATGAGTTTGAGGACATCCTTTCCATATAACTAAGCACCAGATTTCAGGCACAGGTTTATAATCTTTGTTGTCTCATTTAACTTTACCATAACACATGAGAACAAGGAAAATAAGGTTTACAACAATAATGTCACGTGCTCAAGGTCATGTATTTCAGTAAAACAATCATTACTTTTTCCTGTGACTTTACCAATTTTTCCTTATTTGCCAGGATTTGACTAGGAGTTACCAGTCTTGACTTTGGTCTTAGCTCCTCTCCTCTTCCAATCCACACCTGGAGGTTTTAGTTTCTTCCATGAGTAGAAGAGGGTATATAGTATAATTTCCTTCTCCATCCTTTAGGCCTCATCTGAATGTCCTCTATAAGATGCCATACCTCAATCATATTTAAATCCTATGAGATATTTATTATCTTGATTTACACACTTGCACTGCCATCCTGAGGACAAGTTACACTCATCTACTGCTACCTACGCCTCCTACTTTATGGATTTAATTACCTCCTGCTCCATATTTTTTTAATTAAGTTATTTATCAGATATAGAAAGCTGGTGGTACTGTTTCCAGCACTTGAGATACAGAGGATGAAGGATCAGGAGATCAAGGCTATGCTGAGATACATAAGACTGTTTTTTATTTTTGTTTTAAAAAAGAAATGGCAGATATCCAGATGTGCACACTCTCTCAGTCTCTGTGAGATAAATCTATTACTCTGGCATCTCAAGGCACATTAAAAAAATAAATGCAATACTAGAAGGAACAATACTAAGCATATTACTCTCCTAAAATTTCTTTCCTTTGAGTTTGATCTCTTTCAAAACCCCCAACTCAAAGGAAGTGAGAAAAGCTGCCTCTCCTAGACTTTGGCACTTCTTGACATGCTTTCTTGTTCCTTCTGACTGGTTCAGGTACCTCACAAGAGTGAAAAGAATTAGCTTACACCGCAGACATGTGACAAATGTTTACAGACTTGGTGTATCTTAGAAATAAGAGTGTATCTTTGAAGCTAGGTGTGGTGGTGCACATCTTTAGTCCCAGCACTGGGGAGGTAGAAGCAGGTGGATCTCTGTGAGTTCGAGGCCAGTCTGGTCTACATAGTGAATTCCAGGCTATCTGGGGCTACAGGGAGATCCTGTCTCAAAAAAAATTTTTAAAGGGTATATTTTTGGGCTGATGAGATAGCTCAGCAGTTTGAGAGCATTGGCTGCTCTTGTAGAAGACCTGGGTTCGAACCCCAACACGGGAGGCAGAGGCAGGTGGATCTTCGTAAAAGTGAAGCCAACCTGGTCTACATAGTGAGTTCCAGGCCAGCTGGGGTTACAGGGAGACCCTGTCTCAGAAAGACCGAAAAAAAAAAAAAAAAAGAGTACATATTTGTACTGATGACTCCAGTTCCCTCAGCAAGGATCTCTCCCTCTTTAGGTTAATTAGCAAGGGCCACTGCACCTATTAATAGTGCTTCTCTAAACAGTCAACGGTCTCCTTAAGAAAGATCTAAAATGCCTAAGTTGTGTCCCATCCCTCTACTTTTATTGTAAAACACACTCTTCTAGCTATCAAGCATGTCAACACAAATCTACCTTGTGCCTCAAATAATTTTACATCTTGGTTTTGATGAACTTTTCCCCTCCTGTGCTATTTAAAAACCAGAGTAGCAATGTCACTTAACTCTTTTTCTTCTAGTGTGCAAATCCTGTACCACTGTAGTTGACTAGAAGTCTGTTTACCTTGTTCCTCCTCTGTTTGGACATTAGGCCATCATCAGAAACCCAGCCAATAAGTTCCCGGTCAGTCTGTCCCAGAAACAGAGAAGCGCCTTACCCACACCACAAGAACTAGCTTCTCCACCAGATATGAAAATCAGAAGCTGATGCAGAGAGAGGCAGCCCCAGTGAGCTAACAGTATCCTTCTTCAGGAACCTATCCTTCTTCACCTTATTCTCAGAAAAGGTCAGATTCACATAACAGAGGAAGCTTAAGAATAAAGACTCCAGGGTTCAGTGTAAATTGATTATATGAAAATGGAGGAAAGGTCAACAATTTCAAAAATTCTCACTATTTACAGGAACCACTGAAGGACAGGGATCTTATTACCTGCTTCAGCCCCTCTCTAGAAGAGACAGATGTTTTCACAATGTCATCAATAGTCCACCACTGATCAGCAAGGTAAAGTGCCACAGCTAAAACAAACAAAAAATGGTTATTAACAGTAAGTCTTAAAGTGTTAAAATAGATAATATTGCTACTTTTATCAAATACATAGACACTGTTAAATATATCCATTCTTACTCACTTGAGTTTTCTGTCATCTGGGAATCAAATCCTATTTCAGGCAAATGTTCTACCATTGAGCTACACCCTTTCCCCAGTTCCTAGACCCATACTTTATACCTTTATCTTACTTCATTCATTAAATATTTAATTATAGGCAATTGAGAATTAATTTTTCTAAAACTAAAATTTGAAAAAATTTTATACAACAAATTTCTTCATGTAGTTTCACAATGAATTCCTAAAAATATATGAACACAAGTTCCTCAACTTACAAAAATGAATCAAAAAAGATACCTGTGAGTGAATCCTCGGGTGCAAAAAGAGCAAGAATTCTCTGGGTCTGATCTCCACCATAAAGAGGTATAAAGCCTACATTTGACAGGCTAATAGGAATCTGAAATGAAAAATGATTCAAGATTAGTAAAGAGAGCTTAATGAAAATACAAGATAAAAACATCAAAAGATTTACCAAAATGTTAAACTCTTTTTACATTTATTTTCATAGATAGCTTCATTTCACAGAAGACAATACTCCCAGTCTTTCAAGACTCAGATCAGAGAGAGAGAGAGAGAGAGAGAGAGAGAGAGAGAGAGAGAGAGATACTTCTCTTTTGCAAGAATTTTACTGGTTTGGGGGAAAATAAAAGTTTATCTCAATAAATATTTCTAGGTTCCAGCCATGCCACTGAATACAAGCAAAATCAATGATAGGCCTCCCACAAACAGTCATTGAAAAATCAACTATAGTTTATTATCTTTAGACTATATGAGAGGAACATATATCATTTTCTTTTTTTCTTTTCTTTTTTTTTTTGGTCTTTTTGAGACAGGGTCTCCCTGTAGGCCCAGCTGACCTGGAACTCACTAAGTAGACCAGACTGGCCTTGAACTCACAAAGATCCGTCTGCCTCTGCCTCCCAAGTGCTGGGATTAAAGGCATGTGCCACCATGCGTGGCTTCATATATCATTTTCTAGAAAAGAAACCATTTAAGTAAAATGATACTTCAGCAAGATACATGGAGTACTTTAACATTTTTCTGCCTTCATTAACCCAGTATTAATTCTCTATTTTGAGTCAACACTGATAATTTAAAGAAGGGAGCTCTAATTAAATTATAATTAATAATTAGGGGGCTGGATG